TCAGTGGGACCCACTTCCTCAATCTTCCCTCCGTCGGGGCCCATCTCTTTTCGCCTCAGGCCGCCTACCTGGGCAATGGCGGCAGGGCGGGCGCCATCCTGCCGCCTCCGCCGCTCTCCATCCTCGGTCGGAGGCCACTGTCTCGGTCCCGGCTCCCCCTCAGCGCCTCGCGGACGCCGCTGACAGCTCCTGGGGCTGGATGGAGAAGAGGGACAACGCCGCCCCGGCCCCACTGAGCATGCGCGGGGAGAGGCAATGGAGGCGGGGAAGGAGGGTCGGCTAGGCCTCAGGAGCCCCGCTCTCTGGTGAAGTGACTGAGGGGAAGAAACGCCTGAGAGGAACGGCGCCGACGAGGAAGCTCAAGCTGTGCGAGGGCGGGCCGAAAATGGCCACTTCCCTCAGAAAATGGCCCTTTTTGTGGAGGCTTCCCTCCCCTCATGATGTTTTCTCTCACACGGGGTTTGGAGATTTATGTATAGGCCCAAAGGAGGACGAGGCACCGCCAAATGGAGGGCATTCAAGGGGAGGAAAATGGAGGAGGATAGGACCAAATAAAAGCTACTCGTATAAATAAAACATGCAGGGGTAGCTGTGTTGGCCATTTAGTAAATTCAAACACAAACCCACCAAACAGTGATGCTCTTATTGGGCCAACCAAAATGCACAATATATTTGTTGCAAGCTTTCAAAGCTGCATGGGCTTCTTCATCAGGCAAGATGTTACAAACCAAACAAGAGAAAAACAATTGGAGATGTTAGTCAGATGCCTACATGTTGTTTCAGTCTTTAGTTAAGATGGTCTATGGTGTATATACACTCGTATAAAATGTTTATCCATGGCTCTTAGTCATGCTCAAAATGGAGGACATTTTGGAATGCCTCCTGAATAGGAAGGTTGGAATGGAGGGCATGTCCTGGAAAAGGAGGACGTTTGAGGGGAAAGCGAATAAGGAGAGACCAGGGTGAACATATTTCCTCACTGCAAAGGAGGACAGTCAAGAAAACTGGAGGACGTGACCAAATAAAAGCTACCAAACACACTCATATCAATGTTAATCCATGGTTCTTAGTCATGCTCAAAATGGAGGACATTTTGGAATTCCCCCTGAACAGGAAGTTTGAAATGGAGGGCATGTCCTGGAAAAATAGGATGTTTGAAGAGGAAGCGGGTGAGGAGGGACCAGGGTGACCAGATGTCCTCACCACAAAGGAGGACAAGGCACTGCTGAATGTAGGGCCTTCAAGGGGAAAAATGGAGGACATGGCCAAATAAAAAGCCCAAAACACATATAAATGTAAATTAATGCTTCTTGGTCATGCTAAAAATGGAGGGAATTTTGGAATCCCTCCTGAAATGGAGGACATGGCCTGGAAAAGGAGGATGTCTGAGGGGGAGGTGTGTGAGGAGGGACCAGGGTAACCAGATTTCCTCACTGCAATGGAGGGCATGCAAGAAAAATGGAGGACATGACCAAATAAAAAGACCAAAACACTCATATAAATGTTAATCCATGCTTCTTAGTCTTGCTCAAAATGGAGGGCATGTTGGAATTCCTCCTGGACAGGAAGTTTGACATGGATGGAGGACATGTCCTGGGAAAGGAGGACATCTGAGGGGGAGGAGGGACCAGGGTGACCAGATTTCCTTGATGCAAAGGGGGACAAGACACCGTAATTGAGGGCATTGAAAGAAAAATGGAGGGCATGACCAAATAAAACCCAAAACACTCATATAAATGTAAATTCATGCTTCTTGATCATGTTCAAAATGGAAAGATTTTGGAATTCCTCCTGGACAGGAAGGTTGAAATGGAGGACATGTCCTGGAAAAAGTTGATGTCTGGGCACCCTGTCCACAATTCCTCCATTCTCACTCAAAACATATACAGATTTGTGTGTGTGTCTGTGTGTGTGTTGAGAGAAAGCCACCTCACACCTTTTTGTTCCTGTTGTGTTCCTTCAAGTCATTTTCCATTCGCACACATACACACCATTCAGAAGCTACACTATACAGCAGGGGTAGGCAACCTTTTTGAGCCGGGGGCCAGGTTGCTGTCCCTCAGACAATTGGGGGGCCGAAGCACCATAAATAAATAAATAAATAAATAAATAAAAATATTTTAAATTTTTTTTAATGCATGCACACACTCTCAGCCCCAGAAAAGCCATGGCAAAACCCCTGTGGAGATTTTGCCAAGAAAATCCCAAGAACAAGTAATAACAACAATAATATCATCATGGCAGGGGGCGGCGGCAGCGGTGGCGGCAGGACTGGCCTGGGGCCGGTCCAAAGGCCTCGGGGGGCCACATCCGGCCCCCGGGCCTTAGGTTGCCTACCCCTGCTATACAGTATCAACAATATATCAATAGTTTGGTGGTGGTGGTGGTTTTACTAATCCTTGTACTATGGTAATTTAAAAAAAAATAAATTACATTATACAGGCGGTAAAACAGATTTTAGCTGTATGTGATGTCATTCAATTTTCCTTCAACTTCCAAATTTCTAAACTTCCAACAGGACTCAAAAACCTCGACTTTAAGTTCCCTTTAAGTACAGTTTCTGTCTCTTGTAATTGCTGCTATAGGCAAACAATGGAAATACGTGACCCGAAATACTCATAAGACAACCAACCTATATTTTATAATGTTGGAAAGGTAATCATATTAGAGTTCTTTCAACATTAGGTATCCTTTTATATTATATTTTTTATATTGTCAGAGGTAGAATTTAAATGTTAAACAAAAAAGGGGTAGTAAATGCCACGTTTCTCAAAATCTTTGGGAAATCCAGTGTATGCAAAATATTAATGAAATGGCCAACTAATTTTAAATATGTTTAAAAAGAGTAAGAAAGGTAGAACAAGAACATGGAAATTAGAATATTTCCTTTCTACAAGTCCTGGGGAAAGATCTCAAGAGGGAACCAACACTATGGTCTTAAAGAAAAAGGGTGAAACATATATAAACATGCCCTCCAGAATACCCCTGTTTTAAATTACCTGAACTCCAGGAAGAA